AAAATTAATAAAACAAGCATTATATTCAGTCAATGATAAAATTATTGCATTATCAAGAGACATTACGAAAGAAATCTCACTATCAGTTTGCCCAATGATTCCAGTTAATGATTCACCAATACTCAAAGTAAACTGTGTGTCAAATAAATCTAGTATCTGAGGTAATTCAGTCACTAGTAAAAAAGCAGACTGCATTGTTGTAGAACGCTGTAAAAACCCATATAATTCATTACCTGTTTGCAGTATCACATCAAGATCATCTTTATGCCAATATTCTACATGTCTTATTTGACTAAATATAATAGAAACTAGGCTGTTAGCAACACACTGTTTGCCACTGTTATCCAGAAATTGAGAATCACCTTGATGGAAACTGCCTTGCACTGAAAATATTGGATTTATATCATTACCTGTCCACTGATTATTTGTGCCTTCTGTATCAAATATCAATTTAGACACCATGCCTTCTTCAATTACAGAACCATTTCCATCTTTCAAGAAGTTATCTTTATCATCATTCACAAGGACAGTATTATCTGAAGTATTTGCGTCCGGAGGGACGATATTTGCAATAATATTTGCGTCCCAAGGGACAGTATTTGCAGTAGTATTTGCGTCCCGAGGGACAATATTTGCAGTAGTATTTACGTCCCGAGGGACAATATTGACAATAGTATTTACGTCCCGAGGGACAATATTTGCAGTAATATTTGCGTCCTGAGGGACAGTATTTGCAGAAACGTTAACATCCCATTTTAACTCTTCAGCTGGGATGACACCCAGCACAGATGGGACATTGCTTGAATGTGGAGCAGATTTGTCCACAGCTGATCTTCTCTTCATTGCTTCACTTCTCTTCCAATTCTTCTTTCGTGGCATCTGAAAGATATAATTTCAATATATTTATACATTACCAAGGTCTTAGGTAACATACTCAAGACTATTCAATAAATAACAAGTTATATTAAATGGTTTCTATAAGAAACCCCCAAAGTTTACAACAGACAAACGACGTTGAAGCCACCTCATAGTATATATACATCATAATGTTGGCATCATTTTCCAAATTTTCCAATCTAATGGGGCTTAAATTGGAATCAAGTCTAGATTCTTTGTAGTTACTAACACAATACAGAAGTACACCATTTATTGTAACTGGCCTAAATGGGTAAACTTTATTTAAATGCAGCAAAATCTATTTACAAATAACCATACTTCAACATTTTGTGTTTTCAATATCTGACTGCCTACTAACTTTGTAGGTTTAATCAATACTGAAGAGATGTTACTGTGCAGTGGTAAAATAATGAACATTTAAAGTGACATATTCCTCAATGATAATTTCCCAGGAGTGATATTTTATGCGCTACGGACCATATATCCAATAAAAGAGACTGATTACTACAGAAGAAAGCAATGATCTATTGGAAATTGTAAATTGAAGTTACTGGGGTTAGAATGATGCTAAATTATCAGTAGTTTTAGATTAATGTGCATTCTGAAATGCATCTTATTTTTCTCTCAATTAAGATTCAAAATCACCGACTGGTAGCCATGAATCTCACATCATGTTAAAAAAAAAAAAAAATTCAAACCAACTTGTATGAATATATGCATAACTTAAAAAAATTGTACACGTGCATCCGCCTACGGAGTGAGTACTGCACAACACATGGATCTCTCTATGTATATAGTCTTGTCCGACATTGTATACCAAGAGTCTGCAGCAAATATGCACTTACCTTAGCATGTATACGATTATCATCAACTACAGAATAAAAATGAAAAAGTTATTAATGCAAATTTATAACAAGCAGCCTGACAAGTCTACCTGACACAATGTGCACTGAAATATACCATGAAAAACATTGGCCCAGACAGTTCAGAACCAAACACAATGTGTACTGAAAAATAATATGGAAAACATTGGCCCAGGTAGTTGAGAACCAAACACAATGTGCACTGAAATATACCATGAAAAACATTGGCCCAGACAGTTCAGAACCCAACCCAATGTGTACTTAAAAATACCATGAAAAACATTGGCACAGATAGTTAAGAACCAAACACAATGTGTACTGAAAAATAATATGGAAAACATTGGCCCAGGTAGTTCAGAACCAAACACAATGTGTACTGAAAAATGATATGGAAAACATTGGCCCAGGTAGTTAAGAACCAAACACAATGTGTACTGAAAAATAATATGGAAAACATTGGCCCAGGTAGTTAAGAACCAAACACAATGTGTACTGAAAAATAATATGGAAAACATTGGCCCAGGTAGTTCAGAACCCAACACAATGTGTACTGAAAAATACCATGAAAAACATTGGCCCAGACAGTTCAGAACCCAACACAATGTGTACTTAAAAATACCATGAAAAACACTGGCCCTGATAGTTAAGAACCAAACAAAATGTGTACTGACAAATACCATGAAAAACATTGGCCCTCATGGTTAAGAACCAAACACAATGTGTACTGAAAAATAATATGGAAAACATTGGCCCTCATGGTTAAGAACCAAACACAATGTCTAGTGAAAAATACCATAAAAAACATTGGCCCAGGTAGTTAAGAACCTGACACCATGTGTACTCAAAAATAATATCGAAAACATTGGCCCTGATTGTTAAGATCCAAACAAAGTGTGTACTGACAAATACCATG